AAATCGAAGGAGTCAGTCGAGACCTCAGTACCTGAAGCGGGTGAGGAAACAGCACCGGCAAGAGGTACAGAGGCATGAGGAGTGTCCGAAGAGTGGTCAAAAGACGAGGCGGGCTCAGAACGGGGTGGCAGTATCAAGAAGGGGCCCGGGGTAGCAGGTTCATGGACTAGGGCTGCCATGGTTAGGTTACTTCTTTCTTTTTGCTTTTAAGAAAAATAAAGAAAAAAAGAAAATAAAAATAAAAAAAAGAATAAAAAAAGGGGGACCGGGGAGGAATAGTTCCTAGGAGGAATGAAAGGGCCAGAAATCTCCCTCCGCGCCCAAGAGGACCTCAGCACCGCAAGTAGCGCAGATGCAGCATGGAACCCGTGCCATACCCTACTCATCATGCCAGTAAACCGTCAATCCGGGATAGCAACCTCACATCTGCCGAGCTACCTCGGTGGACAAAAGAGAGGGCAGCCGGAAATCCACCACAAAGCATACCTCCTTCGGCCACCACCCCCGGAATCCGAAAGGTGGCTTCCAGAGATACACCCGTCGCCCGAGAGACACCCAAAGCCACCCTCCAGGATACCGGAGAGGGATCGGGACATCCCCAGGCAATCCAGATTGCACGGCAAACTACGCCACCGCCAAGAACCTCAACGGAATGGGATGGACCCCGGTACCCTCTCCCCTACCTAGGAACTAGCGTGCCTGTGGAAAAAAAAAAAATACCAAAGGCCAAAAAGGGAGGGCAAAAGGGAGGGGTGGGGAGGAGGAGGAGGAAAGGAAAAAGGGGAGGATGGGACAGGGAACGGGGGATTGGGGGTAATTAGGTTCGGTCTGAGGAAGGAGACCGACAGGTCTAATTCCTCAGACCAAGAGCCTCTTCACCACGCCAAGGAGCCCCCCCTTGAAGAGGGACCGTAGTGGAACACTGAGAAGAAAAGGATGTCGTGTGACACTGAAGATGATCAGGTTGTAGTGTACATTGAATAGTGTCATGTGACTGGCCTCTGATAAGAGAGACGCTGTGGGTGATAGTGTGCGACGCAGAGACAAGGGTGTCAAGAGTGACACAGCAGAGATATTGTGTATGACGCAGAGAAAAGGGTGTCATGTGACATGGAGAGTAGGAGTGTCGTGTGACACAGAGAAAAGGTTGTCTAGTGACACGGTTGAGCAGGAGCATCATTACACGGAGGAAAGGGTGTCAAGTGACACAGTTGAGAAGGAGCGTCACAACACACCACGGATAAGTGTCGTGTGACACAGAGCATCATAAGGGTGTCGTGAGACACGAAGAATGCAGTTGATTATTTATTATTGTACAAATGTTATTTATAACTTATTATTTTAGCACAGATATATATAGTGACACAGTAGTGTCTAAGAAAGTTGTACCCTGTGTAGGGTCAGGAATATTTATGATTTAAAGATGCTAATAATTTATTATTGTAACATGTGTATGTTCAAATACCTCTAGACCAAAGATTGTTTTTATATAATATTAAAGATTAATTCATTTTAATGTGTATGATGTATCCCGAACTTTTATATTACTGACACTAAATGTAAAACCAATTAGTGTTTTTTTTTGTAATAGTCACTGTCTGAAATTTTTGTGTTATCCTAGGTTGAGGGTCTCCTTCCTTCCTTCCTTCCTCTCATCTATTCCTTCCTTCCTCCTTTTCTTCCTATCTTCCTTCCTTCCTTCAGGTTTCCTAGGCGTTGCTTTCAGTCACAAACTCCTTAAAACCGTGAAATTCATCTTCACTGACACTTCCATCTGTGTTTGAACTGTCACTTGGAAACAAGAGAGCCCCAATTAGCCGAGGAGTGAGGAGTTTCTTAGCGCTAGACATGGTGAACAAGGTGTAATAAAATGGCTTTCCCACAATGCACCACTGGGTCCCCGAAATTTTTTGTACCGCGCACACTGACCATGGAGACCCATTCTCTCACATCTAGGACTACCAGCCGTTTTCCTGCTTGATTTCAGAACATTAGAATTTATGCGTACTAGTACGCCAATAACCCTGGCGCATAAGACATACTGTACGTCATTAACCCTGAAAGGGTTAAGAAGGAAATGCATCTCCTCCTGCCTTATTGTCGCCACTGACAGTTTTGACTCTCTCTCCTATGTCTGTCTCTCTGCCTCTCTCTTTTTTTTTATACAGCATTTGACAAGGTAAGGTTAAGGATCCCTAGCTTTATTGGCAAGCTATTTACAGGTTAAGGATTCCTAACTTTATTGACAAGCTAAGAGCTGTTACCTACATCAGCTCATTTGAAAGCATTTTTATTGTTACGAAACATACAAGTAGGGAACAGAATGAAGTTGGAGTCATCTATGGGCCAGCATTTTCATTTGATCAACTGATTATCTCGTTGACATCATAATGCTGTACGAATGAGTTCCAGACTCGAGTCATCCTGGGAATAAATGTTCTCGGATGAAGTGATGTTCTGGAGAAGGGTACAGCCAGAGTGAAGTTGCTGCTTTCTGCCCGTCTTGTGGTATAGAAACTTGCTTCACTCTGTCCTCCAAGTACATAAGAGTAAGGCCACCCACATCCCTCCTGCGTTGAAGGCTCTCCTGAAATGATCAATCTACCCATCTCTCACTTGGTCCAAGTGAGAGATGAGACGTCTTGCTCTGTTTTCTACTCTGTCAAGCAGTCGCATATGAGAAGGGGGGAAGGCGAACCAAGAAAGTGGAGCATACTCAAGGTGTGAGCGTACTTGTGCCTCGTACAAAATCTTGCAACCCCTGCTGTCAAGCAGATGCGAGATACGGCTAAGTGCTGTAAGCTTCCTGGCTGCCTTGTTTGCAAGATTTACAACATGGTTTTCATGGTCAGCTTGGTGTCAAATTCCACCTCAAGGATATCAACTTCTTCCCCAGGTGCCAACACCCTCCCATTCATCCTTACTACTGCACCAGCATTACCATCATGGTGCCTAGAGATCATCATCGTTTGTGTTTTCTCAGGTGCAAATGTTACTTGCCATCTATTTCCCCAAGCTGATATAGCTCTTAGCTGGTGACTGATATAGCTTAGAGCAGCTGGCATTTCTTCTCTTGGATAAGTGAATGTCAGCGTACAGTCGTCTGCATATGCATGGAATTCTCGGATGAGATGAAGGTCATTGAAGTAGACATTCCATAACAATGGTCCCAGAACACTTCCTTGTGGAACACTTGCCCCAACAGGATGTCTTGCTGATTCTTGCAAATTCCTAGGCCTATACCTCGACAACAACATGAACTTCAGCACCCATATCCAACACATAACCAAAAAAGTATCCAAAACGGTTGGGATCCTCTCCAAGATACGATACTACGTGCCGCAAACTGCCCTTCTCACACTATACCATTCACTTATATATCCATACCTCACCTATCCTATATGTGCTTGGGGTTCAACTGCAGCAACACACCTAAAGCCAATAATAACCCAACAAAAAGCCGTAGTAAGAATAATCACTAAATCCCATCCCTGGCAACACACCCCCCCACTCTTCATAGATCTAAACTTACTCCCTGTTCAGTACATCCACACTTACTACTGTGCAATCTACATCTACAGGACCTTAAATTCCAATATTAACCTTGACCTAAAACGCTTTCTTGATAGTTGCGACAGAACCCACAGGCACAATACCAGACACAAACATGTCTATGACATTCCCCGTGTCCGACTGAACCTTTACAAAAATTCAATGTATGTCAAAGGCCCTAAAATCTGGAACACCCTACCTGAAAATTCTAAAACTGCAGACACATTCATCACCTTCAAAACTACCATCAGAAAACATCTTATCTCCCTCATACACCCTGTCAACTAATTATAACGAATACCACCCTGGTGGTTAACACTTACACTCACTCACCCATTTGACCATAAACAGAAATATCAATCTCATCTCAAAATAATGAATCTTAACTAGTCATAAGTTGGCCTGTGATACTCCAATACTGAAACTATGTATAGTGCCAAAACAAAAGCATTCACATTGCTAAACTCACAAACTAGTATTTAGTCACTTAGCCATAATACCAACTTACCTCATAATTTTGTAATATTTTAAACTTAAGATTTAATTTAAGTCTGCCCGAAATGCCTAGCCATGCTAGGGGTTCTAGTGGTACACTCTGTAATTATTATTTTACTACATGTAAACAATACAATAACCAAATTCTGTAAACTCAGCATTGTAATCCTTATAGAGAATAAACTTTGAATTTGAATTTGAATTGACAACTACCCTTAGAGATCTACCATGAAGGTTTACACTGAGGAGACATAGCGTAGAGCCTGCTGTTCCCAGTGCTTGCAGTTTTGCTAAGAGGCCCTGGTGCCACACCTGGTCAAAAGCACCAGCAATGTCCAGTGCTATCACACAGCTGACTTTGGATTCATCCAGTGACTGGTGCCACTTAGTAGAGAGGTTTAACAACAGCTCAGCAGCAGAGTAACCTTTCCTGAAGCCATATTGATGGTCACAAAGTAGTGAGTGGTAGTCAAAAAACTCTGTCAATTGTCTTGATTATTGTCTCAAGGAGCTTGCCAGTGATTGACAGGAGTGACACAGGTCTGTAGTTACTGATTTCTGCTCTTCTTTTTGTGAACAGGGATTACATTTGCCTCTCTCTCTCCTGTCTCTCTCTCTCTCTTTCTCCTGTGTCTCTCTCTCTCTCTCTCCTACATTTTTCTCCCATCTCTCTCTCCTATCTCTATGTCTCTCTCTCCTATGTCTCTCTCTCCCCTGTCTCTCTCTCCCCTATCTCTCTCTCTCCTCTATCTCTCTCTCTCTCCTCTATCTCTCTCTCTCTCCTCTATCTCTCTCTCTCCTCTATCTCTCTCTCTCTCCCTATCTCTCTCTCTCTCCTCTATCTCTCTCTCTCTCCCCTATCTCTCTCTCTCTCTCTCATATCTCTCATCTCTCTCTAGCTTAGATTTAGCATCACAAAACATTTTCACAACAATCAATAAATAACTACTTACTTGTTCCCCTCATATTTGATTACAAGATTTTGTGAACACTCCTTAAACAGGTCCCTGAGTTGAGGGTCATAGAGAATGTTAGTGTCTGCAGGCAGGCCTCTCACAACAACTGTAGTAAAAGGATCAAGTCCACTTAATTCTCGACACATTTCTCGCTCATAGTCTACTGGAATGTTGCGTTTGAAATAATGTGGGAAGAAAGCGCCTGCAAAACACATCTGAGGGAAGAAAAAAAAACAATGTTGAAAAATTATAGAAAATCTAAAACTATTTAATTATTCAATTTTGAACATATAAAGTAGAATTTGCTGTACACCTACCATCCAACTTACGACCTGCTCAACTTACGACCACTCGACTTACGACCACTCGACTTACGACCACTCGACTTACGACCGTGTTTTTTATGCCAAATTTCTGAGAAATAAACAACTATTTGTGTTGTACACAGTGTTTATCCTAAACCTTACAGTATAAAATACAGTACTAACAACATAAAAAGTAAAGTAAAACATGAAATACCAAAATAAAACAATCAAATAAAGTCATTACAAAAATGTTTTGTTGATATTCAGTAGTAAAGTTCGATTTACGACCATTTCGACTTACGACCAGTTTCTCGGAACCGAACTCGGTCGTAAGTCGGATGGAAGGTGTATTTTCAATTTTTGTGATATAAATTTTAGGTATTCAATTTTCACAATACCTTTAAGTAAAAATCCTAGATTAAGATTACTAAATTACTATTATTTATACTTATACTGTTAAAACAAGAAAACAACCCCTTTCCACCCCCTTCCGTACCACATGCACACACAGATGCTGATGGATTATTGAACAAGACTGAGAAGTTGAAAAAAAAAGAATAGTAGAGGTAGCCATCACAGAGAAAGTTGACTTGAATAATGATACATCTCATATTCACAGCAGGACATCAAGTGATAAGGAAATACAAAGGAAACAGGGAAAGTGGAAGAGAAACAGAGCTAATCAGAAATCAGTGAAGTTTTAAAGAGATGAGTAGGATAAACAGACCTTTGGAAACTAAGTGGTGGGCTCAATTAAAATTGTGACCCAAAACAGTAGTAGCAGTGATTTACAAACCGGAGCCTAACAGTAGGAGACTGACAAGAATATGAAGACAACAAAACAATGGTTGATGCCATAGCAGTAGTAGTTAGGGATGCACAGAGCTTAAGCTTTGCTTTAGCCCTGTGAGACAACTACAACGCATATGGGCGGTCAAAAAATGTAGAGGTCTAAGTTGATGGAAGCAGTTATGAAATAACTTTTTGTCAGCATGCTAAGGATACAACAATGGAGACGAACCAGCAAGACTGGACCTAGAATTTACCCTAAGTATGGTTGACATAGGTGAGATAGAAAACAGGAGCCCCTGGGCTCTCTCAAAGTAGAGAGATTAACAGCAAGTGGAGAGTACAAGAGGCCAGAATTAACAATTTAACTGTGTCCAATGTACTAGTACACACCAATTTTTGTACTCACAAATCTGCCACCTGCTACCTCAGGCCAACTTTCTGTCTTCTTCCATCTATTTTGAAAAATGTAAGGCCAGCAGGGTCCACATAATGTATCACGGTTAACTACTCAGGTGATGACTGTATTACCAACATACTAATATGGCTCACTAAGCAAAAGTAAACAAAGGAACCAGGAGCTGCTATTCCACCAACAGCTTCCCTATCATCTAACAATCAAAATTTATTACAATTTCATGATACTCTCAGTAGAATTCAGCCACAAAACACACTAGGTATATAACCCTGGATAACTCAGTAAAGCCAGTGTGAATAATTTCCATGTTTTAATAAATATTATACTCTAAAATAATTGTAATATTACAAGTATTCATTATACATGAACTTTGACCAAAAATAGAATAAAAATTTAATAAAACAACCATTATAAAGTATGAACAGCATATACAACCCAGTACAGTCAATCAATATTACTTATATCCATGTTTAGGGGAGTATTACACCCTGAAACAATTGTAACAAGTAATCCCTGACATTGACTTGAAGGATCAAAATAATAAAAACAAGAATAAAAACCAGTCATACCATATATAGTAGGGCCCCACTTATAAGGCGGGTTAGGTTCCAGGCTACCGCTGTACAGCGGAAATCGCCGTAATGCAGAATGCCCATTTTTTACACTTATAAATGCATATAAATGCCAGGTAACATGTTTACACTAACATATTAAGTTATCAATAGAACTAGTCATTAACCCTTTCAGGGTCTGTCCCGTAGATCTACAGTTTTACGTTCAGGGTCCAAACCGTATATCTACGCCAAAATTCTAGCGGTGCCAAATTTAGCACGAGAAGGCTGGTAGGCATACATCTGAGAGAATGGGTCTGGGTGGTCAGTGTGCACACCATAGAAAAAATCTGGACGCCCGCATGGCATTGTGGGAACGCCGGCAAAGTAGCTATGTTCATAGTGCCTGGCGGCAAGGAAGCTCTCACTCCCCACTCACTTTCTGGGCAAATTCTGACTCTCCTCTTCACAACTTACAGTTCTAAGACTGATGGAAGTCGACCTGAAGACGAATTCTATGGTTTTGAACCATATGGTACCATTGTGCCATATTGTACAATGGCATCATATGGTACAATGGTGCCATGTCATACAATGGTATCATATGGTACAATGGTATCATATGGTATAATGGTACCATATGGTACAATGTACCATATAGTACATTGTACCATATGGTACATTATACCATATGGTAGAGGGTACAGGGACCCTAATGGAAATAAGTCTGTTTGACTTTTTTGGGTTATCCTAGGTTCTCCAAACATATGCTGCTAAGTATGATATTCTATGTAACTTTATTTGTGTATAACTAAATAAACTTACTTATGATGCCACATGCACTTGAGTAAGTTTATTCAGGTGTACAGAAATACAATTAAGTAGATTATCATACATAGCAGCATACGTATAAAATCCTAGGATAACCCAAAAAAGTCAGGGTGACTTATTTCAATAGTTATACCTGTATCTGTACCATATGGTGTCCTGTACTGTATGATACCCTGTGCCATATGGTACCCTGTGCCATATGGTACCCTGTGCCATATGGTAACCCTGTACCATATGGTACCCTGCACTATATGTTATCCTGTACTGCATGGTACACTATACCATATAGTACAATGTACCATATGGTACCCTGTAACATATGATACCGAGTACCATATGGTCAACAGGTGTTGGTGGCATGAGACACCAGCCAAGACTGAGTGAGTGGGGAAGCAAGCTAGCTACTGACTCAGCAGTTTCCGCAGTTTCCGAGACAAAGTGCTTTGTCATCCACCTCAAGGAACACGTCAGGTTCCTGTACACTTGTAAATATATAATAGAACATTACTAATATATAACATTTTTGCATATTTCTGTTGTAAACAACTATTGTAAACAAAATAATAATGAAAATATTAGTGTGTTTATTGTGTTGAATACAACAGTACCGTATGGTACAATGAACCATATGGTATCTTTGTTCTGTATGGTACAATGTACCATATGGTACCATTGCATCATATGGTAACATATGGTACCATTACACCATATGGTACCATAAGGTACAATTGCACCATATGGTACCATTGTATCATATGGTACCATTGTACCAAATGGTGCCATTGTACCATATGGTACCATTGTATCATATGGTACCATTGTATCATATGGTACCATTTTATCATATGGTACCATTGTATCATATGGTACCATTGTATCATGTGCCATTGTGCCATATTGTACCATTGTATCATATGGTGCCATTGTACCATATGGTACAATTGCACCCTATGGCCCCATTGTACCATATGGTACTATATGGTACCATTGTATTCAACACAATAACCACACTAATATTTTCATCATTTTGTTTACAATAAACTTGTAAACAAGTTTTGTAAGCAATATAATGATAAACAAATTAGTGCAATTATTGTGTTGAATACAATGAGTGTACACTTATACTATATACATTATACTGGTCTCACAGGCCACAAATGTTATTAGAAAAAGAAAAAAATAGAAAAGAAAAGAAAAAAGTATAAAAAACGCAAAATAAAAAAATGGGATTTTGCGGAAGTCACTGATGTTGCTGCCACCCGGTCATTGTGGGTCAACTTCCCGCCGCTGTATCTCGGTAAGTACTGATCAGAAATTTTTGTTTTTTTGTCTTATTACCTTCACAAAAATATACTCTTTAATTCTGTAAGAATTTTTTTTTTTTTTTTTTTTTTTTCAAAGGACACTGGAGCACCACTTCAGATTTTGGCCTTGGACACTGAAGGGGTTAAAAAACAAAAAAGTAAAATGCACAAATAGTACACTCATTACTTAACTTAAAATAAGTGTAGTCTTAATCCTTAAACTGTCTAAACATAGATCTACATTATTACCCCTAGCACTCCAAATGTAAATCAATGTTTTATTTTTCCTACCTTCAAATTTGGCACAATTGGCCTGAAATGGGTCTAAACACATGGTGTGCACTGTATTAAAAAAATCTGGGACCACTTAGTACCCTGTGGGAGCACCAGCTCAGCTGAGTGCCAGCTAGAACAAATAGCAAGGCAAACACCATGGATTCACTGATGTCATGTCGTATTTAACACTTCCCTTTTAAGAGAAAAGTGATGTTGACCCAGAGTTCAGTGGCTTTGAGATGGATGTGGCCACAAGTGGTCAAAGAAAAATAAAAATCTTCGATAATAACCCATGCACAACATTTGTGCAACATCCTTGCATTTTTGACACCACTTGTAGTATCATCCTGCCAGAATGTCCTATAACCTATGCCCTAAGTAAAGAGAAACAATTCTGGAACGTGTGTAATACGATTTCAGCAGGCTGGCCGGCCGGCTGGGTGACTGGCTGACTGATAGACTTCAGGTGTCTCCCTGTCTGTCGCTGTCTACTTCTGTCTATATAAGAACATAAGAAAGAAGCAACACTGCTACAGGCCTACTGACCTATGTGAGGCAGGTCCAATTCTCCCGCTACTTAAGCCAATGCCTTGACCTCGTGAGGTCAGACACGTCACTTAAGGGAGGAGCACGGCATCCAACCTAGCAGCACAAGCTAGTCAGATCCAACTCACACGCACTCATTTAACTCCTAAACGGTCCAAACATACATATACGTCCTTACGTGTAGCATCCCAAACG